TATTGTTCCATAAATTGGAGAAGGAAACGGGGTACAGGGTCTTTTGCTTAAGCCACTGACCTGGTAAGGGCAAAGACCCTGACTTAAGTTAGCTAATAAACTGTCCTATTGCATTTGCATTGGCGTGGGTTGGCGTCTTCTTCTCTTCCGAAATTCTCCTTTACAGCCTGGGCACAACAAATCATTAAGAGGAACCTAGTCATGTCAGGGTTGGTTGCTATTTTACCATAGAGGCATAAAGAAATATGCATGGAACCCAGGTGATCTCTTTAGGTGCCTCTTGGTATTCCCAAGCCCAAATGTGACTTTAACTGGACGGATTCAGCTATCTGAATCTTCTTCATATAATATCATATAGATGTTATATGACTCTTTTCCAGCCAGAAAAGGGCTGGTTGACCAGGCACTCTCAGATCCCTCAGCGATAAGGAGATGAGTAATGACTCAAGGTAAGCATTCAAGGCCAGCTGAATGCTATCCGAAGGTGAGAGAAACTATACTGGATAATGAAGAGGCAATAAACATACATTTCAGACCAATATCAAATGAAGCAGAAGAAATTGTAGTTCATCTCACTAATCTCCCTCTTCTAAGGTTCCACACAGGAAGAGATGCCCACCAGAATCCTTTAGTTCCCAAAATATAAAGTGGATCAGAGCACTGTAAAGACTGGACTATGAAAGAGCCAAATAAATCACTTGGATCCTCTTCAAGGATGTCTTGCTAACAGGGAGTACAATCAGTAGAGTGACTCCAGCTGGTACCTCTTTGGGGTCTGCCTCAGTTGCAAAGAGTCACTTGGCTGAGTTCACGCCCTACCCTGGGCAGCCCACATGCAATAAATGATCAAGGAGTGGGTGTAAAGACCATGACCATTTTGGCCCCATTCAGCACAAGTTTGTCAGGCAATATTGCTCCAGAGCTCTCAGTCAGGTTGGCTGAGGCTGCTATATAGTTCTATTTATTATCTGTAAGGCCAACTTCCTCCCTCATTCTTTCACAACAACATAACAAAATCTGCACCCAGAAACTTCAACTCAGTGCCTGTTTCTGGAGAACTCAACCTAACACAACCAAGATCCCTAGTAATTACAAAAAGCACTTAACACCTCTAAGACCACAAGGAAAAGGTGGGATTTATTAGCATATGGATGATTAAAGGAGATCCCCTGCAGAGAAGGGACCCAGACTTCTAAGGAGAGCACAGTGACCAGCTGGTGCTGGTGCTGCAGCAGCTCTGAGGATGTCCACTCTGCCAGCCCCAGAGCTGAAAAGCAGATCTCTGAGAGGATCAGTGGCTAACTGGTGCTGGAACTTCTAAGGGAACATGAGGTGGCTCTAGTAGTGCCAATAAAACTGGAATCCAAAACCCAATAGGGCTACCAAAGTGAATAGTCCCATCTGAAATTACTGTAATTTAAGCACCCAGGTAGGTGAACTCCCTTCTCCCCTTGTCTATCTCTCCAGTCTACATTCACTGCCCGCAACTGGCACAGCCAATAGTAAGAGAGCTGGCAAAACAGAAGTGTGGTTTGTAGAGGCACATCCTGAACATTATATAGTAAAGCCCAAAATTGGGAGGGAGTTTAGAACTGAAAGATAGCAGCTTAAAAATTACGTCATTGCTATGCCTTTTTCAGGAAACACAGAGATGACTTCCAGGCAAAATGAGCTTTTAATATTGCTTAAAACATTGCAGAGTAAACAGAAGCATACTAGGGATCCTATGGTGTGCCATAATGATGATGATCCTGACAAAGGATCCCTGGGTTTTATTTTTAAACCATAGGACATGCCCTAATGTTTCTCTGCCATGAAACAAAAACTTAGAGAGATTTTGTAATGAGGTGTGAGCCTTATTTCTCTTCCTATTCTTTATTTGCATCCTCTTCTCCCTCTCCTTCTTTGTTTTCTCCCTCTTTTTCCTCCTTTTTTTTTCTGTTTTTCTTATAAAACACAAGGAAGAAATATAAGCAAATAATCAAAGGGATAAGCCACAATATTGACAGGTAAGACACATTTCCCACCTCTTCCATGACTTTGTAAGGAGGTGGGCCACTATCATCACTACCTCCAGGGCCTTTCGTCAAGCAGTAAGGGGGTGCCCACCCGTGGTCACAGTGACAGTGCTGCTTATTGTTACAGACCCCCCTCATGTTGCAGGTCTCATGCTGACAATCTTGGGGTAGTTTAGACAGGTGGACACACTTCTTGTGGATGCAGATCTTTTCCAGTCCACATACTGTGCCCTCCTTCACTTGACCAATATCAGGTATGGACATCCCTAAATGATAGTCGGTGCCCCAGCACATGGTGCCATTGAAGTGGATCTGATGCACTGTAGAATGCTGTGTCAGACTGGGAATTAATCCCACATTTTCACACTGAATTCTCCCACACAGTATATCAGGAGTCTCACATTTTAGGTATACTATATCTTTAATACCACAGTGACCAAAACGATTTCCTTGAGTATTCATTTGCCTGTAGCAGCTCTGAGGCGCACTTCTTGCTTCTTCACCAAAAATCTCTTTACACTGTGTATCATGGCTATTGCATCTCTTTTCATAGCAATAGGCACTGTCATTACAGGGTAGCCCATCCTTCACATATACATCTTCTGGGCACTGATGAGAAGCTCCACTGCACCACTCTGGAAGATCACATTCATTGACCTGTTGTCTACACAAATACCCAGAATGAAGGAAATTACAGTCTTTACAACATAGCCCAAAAGCGCAAGCAGACCCTGGACTCCGAGTGCAGTTTGAAAGACAACAGGGATCATTAGCACACTGTTGTATGGTTCCACAGTCACACTCCTCTCCTTCTTCAACAATTTGGTTTCCACAGAACTTCAGCTTAAGGATTGTCTCTGCATTTGGAGGAGAGTAAAGACAAAATCCTCGCCTGGCAGTGTTGTCCCAATATTCAGCATAACTACAATTGCTGAATTTAGTTGTCATCTTTTTTACGGGAAACATTATGCACCACATTTGCTCACACACACACCACTGGGTGTCATGCAGCATACCCAAGTTATGACCAAGCTCATGGGTCACAGTAAGTGCAAAAGAAAACAATAGGTTTCCTTGGAAACTAGCAACTCCACAATTTAAAGGAGGTATGCAGACTCCTCCGACATAGGCAACACCAGCCGTGTCACCAAATGATTTTTTTATGAAAAGATGTGTAGTATCACTTGGTAGTCGTGCATCAAGGTGGAATTTCTTCCAAGAGGAAAATTCCTCCACAACCAGATCTATGTCATCTGATAATTGTGGGTTTCCAGTATTCCAGATCTCAATGCCAATCAAAATTACATCAACATCCAAAGGCTTATATAAGGAATCCACAATATGGACAACAATAAGTACTTCCTGCTGTACAATGGAGGTATTTCTAAGTGAATAAAGGAATCGATTATAGTCCACTACCACTACCAGTTCAAGAAACCGCTTATGGGTCCACCAGCCAAGATAAGAACTTTGCTTCAGTGTGGAATTATATGTCTTTTGCAATTCCACTTGGCGTGCTATTTCCTCTTCTGTTAAGCCACATCTCATGGGTGAGAATTGTGTTTCATTATTGTCTATCTTATACACCAGGTGTTCAAATGTGGCAGAATGTCTCATGGGTTCAATTTCATAAGCAAGGCCATTTATCTGTAGCATCCCTCGAAAGCCACCAAAACAGGTACTGAGGGCAACCAGGGACTCAAAGGCCCCTTCCACGTAACCATGATAGTAGCAGTCATCCTGGAAAAAAGGTTGATCCTCACAGAGGGCACGTTGGTCTGTGTAGGTGAACACTGGGAGGTGTTTAGAAATCAAGATCTTCTTGACCCTCATGTGGACAATGTGTCTCTGGCCCCCAAACCGCAGGCTGTAGGAGAGTGATCCTGGAGGCCATGCACCTCTGCCTCTGCCAGTCACCTTCAAGGGGATCACCACTTCTGGAGAGGTGAAGTGCTGGGAGGGTGTGGCCTGAGAGTGGCCAGAAATGGACAGAGTTGCTCCAAGCCAGAGCAGCAGAGGAATGACCCTGAGGTATACCAGGGCTTCACCCACTGCCATTACGGAGCCAACTGTACAGAGCAGAAGAGGGCTGGGTGTGAGCCACTGCTGGTCTGGCTCAGTGGTCAGGGCTGAATTGTTATGGATCCATATCCTGGCAGGGCTGGACCATCAGAGATGAGGTGCTGAAAATGAAAATAAAAGAAGTGCTAGAATGGTGTCAGTGAGATAGGGAGCATCAGAGACAGAAAGAAGTGAGGTAAAAATGATTCTTGAACAGGGACAATGCTTGAAGCAGTAAACTGCCTTGGATTTTCTTTTATATATTTGAAAGCATTGGACTCCAGGGGGATCAGTGAAGATTTGTCAAAAGTAGATAATTGCTGAACCTAGATAGTGGATACACAAGGATTCATTATATATCTTATTCCCCACTTAATGTCAACATAGTTAGGTTCCAAAGACCAAGTCATTATTGAAAATCAGCATTACACAAAAACAGAGGATGACCACATCATATCACAAAATAGAGGATGTCTACGACATTACATAACTGCCAAACTATATCATTATATAACTGTAAAATTACATCATTAAATAACTACCAAACCACTGAGAATCATGGCCCAGCCAAGTGGACACACAACCTTAACCATCACAGTGAGCATTATTCTCACCTCACACCTTGGCATTTGTAAGCAAACATCACTAAGATGGAAAATAGATAGTAGATTTTTTTACTGTTGTCTTAAATGCAAAATGTCTGATAATGGGATAGCTGATAAGTGAGGAGTAGATATATACTATTTTTGAAACATGTAAAATTGCATAAAATTTTCTGTATTACAAACATGTTGGCATTTGACTCACAACTTTCTTCACCCAAAAACCTGCCCTGCTATCTTTAACAAGCATGTATGTGGGCTAATACATACAAAACACAACATGTTTTTCTTCCTTTATTCAGATGGTTTGGTTTGTTCCATCTCCCCTTGATTTTTTACATACATCTTATTTAGGTCCCATTCTTGTTATAAGTTGTAAGTGGGAAAAAAAAAAAAAAAAACCACTTATGGGTCTCATTGATATTGGAAGACCTTGACCAATCAAGATAAATTATTATCTTAAAACACATTCTTATCTGCAGAAGAGCCTCAGGGAGTCACAGGAAGGAAGCCATACTGATAGGATACCAGGTAATGTGACTGCTGCTTTGGGGCAGAGTACATAGCTCCACAGACTCCTATCACAGCACAGAGACAGCAGTCTTCTTTTCACCCAGCCCAGCTGTATCATGCTCTTAAGCATAAGAAGAGACTCATCTCGGTCATGTCAACATTGATTCTATTATATTTTTCACATGGCTGGTAAGTTACCTGGATCTACCAATTACAGTTTGAATTTTCTATAGAAAGCTAGACGGAGGAGCTTAAGCCTAGAGTCACTCTGTTAAATGATCAGAAGACCACAATTTGAGTAGAGTTTGAATCTCATTACTGTTGAAAACATAAATTCTTGCTCAAGTAGAAGCTAATTTGTCATTCACTAACTTTGAGCTAAAAGAATCATAAATAATTTCCTTAACATTTGAAAGCAAAAATAAAACAAATTGGAGACAAATTATTAATAGATACTGATAGCCTGGATAGTCTAAATCATGGGATCGGCAGGATATGGGATGAACAGTATCTTAAGCACAGTGATGACAGGAAAACTTGCTTCCATCTCATGCTTTCCCCAAACTAATGGCTGGCTTCCATATCCCACAAAGGGCAACTAGGATCACTAGATGAAACCTATTACAGAAAACATCTCTCATAGAGGTGAAATCCTAATTTCCAGATTTCCTCTCCATGTCTCTTTTCATTATGTCCTTGGTACTTGCTATAGACTTTGAGATATTAAGATGGAATGAGTGATGCGGGAACACCAAGCTCAATTGGCGCAACATAGTACATAAAAATCTCATTCCACAACCTACTTTGGTGAATAGCAACTGGGTCTTAAAAGCTTTTGAGCAGCCATTTAAGATCCAACTATTGGTCTCCTCTCATCTGAAGCAAAGAAGAGTGAAGAAAATCAAAGGCAAATGGAAACAATTAGTCCAAGGATATCAGAGACCAGAAGAACTAGATGGTGCCAAACTACCAATGCCAACCACTCAGAAAGGGATCAAAACTGGAGATCCTGGATAGAGTGGGAGGAAAAATGTGATACAAAATTGAAAAACACAAAAATGACCAGACTTACTGGTCAGATAGAGTCTGGTGGAACCCCCAAGACTATGGCCCTGGGTTACCCTTCAGGCCTGGAATTGGACTCATTCCCATGGATTAGCTCTCAGCCCAACATAAAAAGACATGCAGAACATCTACCCCAGGGCGATGCATCTAGGAAGACACGCCTCTTGAAGTAATCAGCCATGGGGTACCAGAGGGGCAGCCTTCACACAGAGGGCAAGCTGGACAGACAGGAGTGCATAGTGAAGAAGGCCACAGGGAGGGGGTAGTCACAGGATGGGAGGGGAGGAGAGTTTGTTATGGTCGGGGATGTTAACTGGGGCAAGAAATCAAATGTACATGAAATGTTGAATGTAAAACAAATTTCGCTCTGTGAATTTGCACCCAAAGCACAAAAAAAAACCAAGATGGAATGAGTGAGGTGGGAGAGGATTATGTAAGATAAAGCTTTCTAGAGAAGCAATTTAACCTGAATTAATCTTTGTCAGAAATATTGCTAGGTAATAACGTTGTTGTTAGGTACCAATTCCAACTCATAGCAACCCTGTGTACAACAGAATGAAACACTGCCTGGTCCTGGGCCATCCCTACCATCGTTGCTATGCTCGAATGCTTTATCGCAACGGCTATAATAGGAAAATGGGAAACAATAGGAAAGTTTATTGCAAAGAAACTTTGAGACGGACCAGTCTTTGAAGGAATATCTAATAACCTTTAACTATGTGAACCAGTGTCACTCCCAAACCCTTCCTTTTAACATTCCTGGCACTGCAGAGCAGTGTGGGCAGTTTCCTCTGCATCAGTTATTAATGCTTTTCCCAACTTCCATACCTACCTTAAATTTCTCAAAAAGTCTATCTTAAGTCTCCACTCACTCTCAGTCACTGCCTAATTCAGTGTTTTTCAAACTCTGGGTCACAAACCATATTGGGTCACGAAATCATTTAGTAAATGAAACACATGAAGTAGAAAATATCCAAGTGCTTCCCTTTGTTGCCTCAGCTTTAGTAGGAACTTAGGTGTTTTCAACAAATCCTACCTCTGTGAACCTCAGTGTTCCTTTTTTAGTTTTCAGTCCTGTAACACCTTTCTACAGATTGCCTATATTGAATTCACCTGGTTGGGTTCTCTGTTCTAGACTGAATCTTGATGGATACATAACTTGCTACCAGGAATGATCATAAAAGCAGCAGATGAAATGGGAATTTGGGATCGGTTTAGGCATGTCCTCAGTCTTAAACTCAGTGTTGAACTCCTGTCCAATGGAAAATTGGAATGAAGCAAGTGTGTAGGAGGACCAAGTAACTGCTGTGATGATGACTGTAAGTACCTCAAGTACTGTAGGGAGAGAGATGGCAATATTTTCCTATATTGGAGAATTTACACAATGATGCACAATGCTATACATTCTCGGCTCAAACAGAGAACTTACAATGGTGGACCTAAATGAATCTCTCATTTCTTGTGCCCACTTCACCGAAAACCAAAATATAATTGTGGGGTTTGCAGAATCACAGTGTAAATTAAATATATAGATTTGCCAAGACTCTTGTGTGAAATTTCAGATATTGATAAATAATGAAAGGAACCCTGGGCTGTGGAATGGATGGCTCCAGTTGGCCATCTGAGAATGTAGAACCGGTTGAGTATCCCTGAGCCTCCTTACCAGTGAAAGCAGCCAGGCTCCCCTATATATGAAGTTTGAGGGGGAAAAAAAAACCCTCATTGCCATCAAGTCAATTCCCCAAAGCTATAAATATTTATAGAAGCAGACCACCCCATCTTTCTTGCATGGAGTGGCTCAAACCACTGAGCTTTTGGTTAGCAACCAAATGTCTTAACCACTACATCACCACCACCAGACCTCCTTATATAAGAAGTTCAACCTCCCCTAATTTGTGACTCTGTATGCTCCAGAGGGACAGGTTCAAAGTCTGAATTAGGAGACTTCTAATCCAAAATAACTACAATATTTTACTAACTGATGATTGGCAGAGACCCAGGGAATAAATATTAAGAAAATGTGGATGATAGAATAAATATTGAATCAGGCTGATTTTATTAACATGGGTGCACTTAACAGAGACTGGATTTATTGTGGTAGCTTATGCAGTGGAAGTGGATCTATAAGTTTACGTGGTTGACTGAAACTTGGACACAATAGGGGCTTACATTCAATGAGGTTGAGAAGCCAAGACTTTGATCACATTATGTACATGGGGGGAAAAAATCCAAAGGTTTAGGGAAATCAGGATATTGGAATGTATATATTATGTGTGGCCTGCTTGTCATAGGCTGTAGGAATGAAACGCAAACCAGAATATTTGGAACCATAAGCGTCTTTAGGAAACCCTATGAATTAAATCCATAGGTAACCTACGTAAATATTACTTGGTTTACAGAACAGGGAAAAACTAGGATGCGTGGACAAATTCTCTCTACCAAAACAGAGAGTCACAATTTCTTACCCAGTTTCTAGACTAAGCCAATTTACAGATGACCCAAGGTCTCTAGATTGAAGAGGAGGCTAGGTCCCTTTGGGAACGATCCTGCAACACAGCCTCAAGCATATACTGAGTATGTGCAAAAACTTTGATTTCTGAGTGGTGCAGTGGGGAAAGGAAAATACCCATGCATATCAAGGATTACTAGACACGTGTCTGAATCGATTCTAACTCTTGGGGACTTGAAAACACTACCGCAGTCCACTATTCATATTGTAGGTTTATGGTAGATTGAGGAATAAATGGAGCTTTGGGCCAAATCTGTTTCAGAGTGAGCTCAACAGATCTGTGGGCCCTCTCTGGGAGTATTGCCACAGTTCCTGAATTCATAAGTGTGATATTCAAGAAGTATGGAGGCCTGTGTAAGA